ATGTTGCCTTCATTTCACTTACATGCTAGATTTTTTGTTGACAGATAAAAAGTCACAGCTTAGTCCACTGCTTCCTTCTAGCTTTCCCTTTTGGATACTTACTTGTTCTCATCATCATATTACCAGGGGATCTTACGTCCTTTGTGCTGCTATTCTTTAAATATCCAATAAGGCAGAGGTTTACTATCATTCTCACTTTAGACATTCTCACTTTATAGATAAGAAATCAGACACTGGCTTAAGTAATTAGGTACGGTCACACAAGGAAACTAACCATATCTCTTCTGATTACTAAAACATTTCCTTAACTAATGGACCATCCATTCCATATGTTATTTTTCATTTTATAATGTATGGAATAAAAAAACCAACAATACTCAACCAGACAACAAAAAAGGGTCTGGCTGTCATTCTTTTTCTTTTGCAGTTTATCTTTAAATCTAACAAGTACACAGTATGAAAACAGCAAGGTAAATTTGCAAAGGCCTATTCCCTCTTTAGTGATATAACTGTGAATGTCTGCATCTTCAAAAATGAAATACCTGACTAAATAACCTGCTATTTATAGTATAGATGTTCTTACTGATGGTTGATGGTTCAACATTTATGAATGATCCTGTTAATATTTTTCTTGATTCAAAGTACAGTATAACCCTCCATCCTGTGACTTTCCTGCTGTATTTACAACAGCAAATCACCACCTAAAAGTTTAGGAACCACAGAATAAACAATTATAAAGACTCTGATGAAATTCTTCATACAATTGCCTTGTCACTTCTAACCAGCTACTGGAAAATGTAAAGACAAAACCAAAGCAATCAATAGCCTTTTCTTTTGAATGGAAATAGAGACGAAATAGGAACAGTTGTTTCACAGGTACAAAGCTTAAAAATAAGATGACATGAATGGTGAAGAATTAAGCTTCTTGCAATAACAGATGAGGTTAAAAGAGCAGAATAAAGGTGTGGTGGGTTGACCTTGGCTGGACGCCAGGTGCCCAGCAAGTTGCTCTATCACTCCCCTCCTCAGCTGGAGAGAAAATATAATGAAAGGCTTGTGGGTCAAGATAAGGACAGGGAGAGATCACTCACCAGTTACCATCATGGGCAACACAGACTGAACTTGGGGAAGATTATTTTAATTTATTACCAATCAAATCAGAGTAGAGTAATGAGAAATAAAAACTAAACCTTAAAACACCTTCCCCCTTCCTTCCAAGCTCAACCCCACTCTTGGTTTTCTCTCCCTCCTCCCCCCGGCGGCGCAGGGGGACGGGGAATGGGGGTTGGGGTCAGTTCCTCACCCCTTGTCTCTGCCGCTCCTTCCTCCTCAGGGGGAGGACTCCTCATTCGGCCCCTGCTCCACTGTGGGGTCCCTCCCATGGGAGACAGTCCTCCATGAACTTCTCCAACATGAGTCCCTTCCACAGGCTGCAGTCCTTCAGTCACAGACTGCTCCAGCACAGGCTTTCCCATGGTGTCTCGGCCATCTTGGGGGGCATCCATCCCCCTGCTCCCCCGTGGACCTCCCTGGGCTGCAGGGGGACAGCCTGCCTCACCGTGGTCTTCCCCACGGGCTGCAGGGGAATCTCTGCTCCGGCGCCTGGAGCACCTCCTCCTCCTCCTTCTGCACTGACCTGGGGGTCTGTGGGGTTGTTTCTCTCACGTATTCTCACTCCCCTATGCTGACTGCAGTTGCTGTTATGCAGCAGGTTTTTTTCCCCCCCTTCTTAAAATACGTTCTCTCAGAGGCACAACCACTGTCACTAATGGGGTCAGCATTGGCCAGAGGCAGGACGACCTTGGAGCCGGCTGGCATTGGCTATACCAGACACAAGGGAAGCCTCCAGCAGCTTCTCACAGAAGCCAGCCCTGCAGCCCCCCTGCTACCAAAACCTTGCCAGGCAAACCCAATACATAAGGTAAAATAGAATTCTATGGTGGGGTTTTTAATATATATATATATGTATACAGTTCTATTGGCAGGCAATTACAAATTAGCTAAGTAACCACTTGCCTTATTTAGTCTTGAATGACTAACCAGAAGTCAAACAAAAGCCTGTAAACGTTACAGAGGCAATGTCAACTTGCAAAGTAGCAAGCTAAGAGTATCCCTCTGCTTCCCAAATCACCGTGCGTCCAGCAGATGTGCCAAGTACTGTAGTGCACTTTCATTCCTTCCACCACTACTTAAAAAAAAATAACCCACCTCTTCTTTGTTATGCTTTTATTCTACCTTGCTTGGGTAGGAATGTGCATGCAGGGTTATAAATTATTGAGGGAGAACAATGCCAAGAAGCATATTCTGCAGGTGTCTTTCAAAGCATTTTAAAACTTTCATCTCTTACAGAGTAAGTTTCCTAGCCTGGGCTCAGCAAGTTCCACTTTCTGTACTAACAGATCTTCCCCATCTGTAATAAACTGCACATTTTTGGTGGAACCCAGCTGCACCAGTTCAAGCACTACAAAACAACAAGCAAGGATAAAAAAAAAAAAAAAAAGTATTTCAGCACACAATACCTTTTCCTTATATTTTTGGCATCCATTTTAGTGTTTTTACCATGCTACATCCCTTAAAAGAAAAAAGGGTTTACTTCCCTCAAGCTGCAAAAATTTTAACCGATGCTTCCCCTCCTAGTTTCACTATGCTATACAGATACTCACTAGATTAAGAAAGACATCATTCAATACCTAGGTGTTATTACAGTTAGGAAATTTATTATTTGGATTAAAATCATGCCAGTGCCTCTATAATATGTTAAAGCCCTTAAAAGAATACCACTCTGCCGTAACGCTATAGGTCTTTTCTAAGATTTAGCAAAAAGCCTTAAATGACAAGATAGAAAACATAGAAGTAACATTAGACAAATAGCTTGCACAAGTAAAGTTGCATGCTAAAGAAATTATTAAGCCTTCTTCTGAAAGCTTCTAGCACATTTTAAAAGTGAAGAAAATTTGTATCTACAAATGAAATCTGGTTGTGACAAAAGTACAGTTTGCAAAATTTTGTGCACAGACATAGCTGGGGAAGAAGGGGAGGGTTGTGGGAGGGCAGTAATTCATTTCAATAGGTTCTTCATTATGAGGAAGCCTGCTGGCTCAGTCACAGCTGCCACAGTATCAATAGCCTTTTTGGGATCTTGTATTTTTCCTACTTTCACAATGTTGCTTTCCCTCATTAAGATTCAAATCCAATTGTTTATGCTGCCTCTCACTGTTACTCTTCTTTCATGCTGATTATTTCCATTGAATCTCATATAAAATGTATAGAAGTTTACAGAAAAATGCAGGCAGTGACTGTTAGTGAAGCAGAAAAAGCAAAACAGTTGTTTTTTTCCTAAAACATAGCCATAAGGACTGCGTATCTCTCTCCAGTCCCCCAGTGTTATTATTAGTTGTGGCTAGTGCCATAATAATCGATGAATTGAGCCCAGCAATTAGACAGACCACTTCTTCACTACTGAAAAACATGTTTTGCATACACACAAAGGTGTCAAATAATTTCCCATTCCTCAAAAATCAGTATCCTTAATAATTTGATACTTACAAAATAAATCCTTCATATGAAGTCTATTCTTGTAACCCTGATACTCCTTCCTCACTTTAAATTCATGGCAGAAGGCCCTCTCCCTTCACTGCCACTCATCTGAGGGTTATGTGACAGATTATCTTCGTTCCTTCTTCCACACTCTCAATCCATCTGTTAGGTCCTGAAATTGCCTTTTCCCTATGAAAAACTAAATGAATCTCCCGTATGCTTGAAAACAACTTCCTTCTCCCCTGTCCCTCAGCTTCAGTTTGTCTGTAGTAATATTCCAAATGCTGCATGCAAGGTGGAGATAATGCTTTTACTAACTGGCTTTTTTCCTGATTGCTCATAGTTCTGATTATAGTTCTTAAGTCCCCAAAACAATGATCATTATTACACTCTGAGCTCAGCCCTGATCTTCGGTTTCAGTTACAAGAGAAACTTTCCAAAGGTTAGATGGCCAGTGCATGGATGGTACAGGAAAGGAGTGAGCTCTCTGAAAATCATCTCCCTAAATGGCATTTAGCTTGACTAAATGGGAGATACCTGGTGCATGATAAAACGTTCTTCTAAAACATTCTTAGTATTCCTTTCTCTACTTAATTTATATTGACAATTAATAGCCACCAAAATTAACATACACAACCTTTACATTGTTAATCAAGTCCAAACACAGAAAAGGCAAATGTTAAGAACAGACAGTAATTATCACCTCTCTCTCTCTCTCTCACTATTTACATCACGTAAAAGATCCCTAAGCCAAGTCTTTCAAGAGCAATGTGTCTGCAGAGGTATGTGTGAAAGCATCTTAAATAGGCTGTAAACTGAATAAGGGTCAATATGTCTACACATAGAGTATAATCCAGTATTGTAATACTGGTAACTCATTTTTTTCTTAATAAGGGACAATTTTTAACACTATTTAGATAGACTATTTACATATTTTCATGTCACCACAACACCAGATTCACATGCAGCCTGTTGAAGAAGTGAGGGATTTTTTTCACCCCGGTTTTCCATTTATTTGTACATGAAGAAAAGCATAGTAATAAGAGTTGTGACCTGCAACTCAAGGAAATTGTAAACCTAATAATTGTGCACTGAATTGCAGGTGGAGTACCATATACCATTTCAGGATCAAAAATTCTCACTCTTGAGTACTTTAGTGTAAATCTAAGGGCTATCCCTCCCACTACATTTCAAAGGCCTTGCTCCAGGTCTGGTAAGACAAGATAGCACGTTGCAGACAGAAGTATTCACTGGAGAAGTATTAATCTGGAAATCTTTGGCAAACTGGGAAACAATGGAGAGTGCTTACTTTGAACTTGCAATAGAGTGATTACACATCCTCAAAATGTACATTATAATCAATTCTCTTTAGAGAAACAGACACTGTATTACAAGGTCTAGTTTGATGCTAAATAGTATATGTAACCGTGAAGTATAATTTAATGGAAATCATTAACAGTTACCTGAGTAACGGATCTTGAATCCTTTCTTGCTGGTTGCATGATCAGTTGACCAGCGAAGATACAGCTGATTCATTTTGCTTGTAAAGTTCAGTTGTCCGGTATGATTTCCACTTAAAGCAACCAGTAAAGGGCTTTGCCCAGAAGAACCTTCAGAGATGAACAAAGAAACCATTGAAGTTTTAAAGTACTACCAGTTTAAGTAATCCTTTCCATATTTTAACTCAGCTGTGAATGTGAATATACAAGGAAAGAATAGGAAATAACCTGGCACATCGTTGCCAGTGAAATAATTAACAGATCTCTATTTAAACTATCCATCCAGTTTTAGGTTTTCACTAGAGGGCATAATAAAAAATCTTGGTACAAACAAACTGAAATATAAAATGAGTGGTTTTTCCATAAACACTGAAAAAATAGTGGATTTTTTAAAAAATAATTTCTATTTGGTCCTATTACTTTGAATGAGATTATGTTTCTACTCCTTGTCCTTTTCTATCTATTATTTATTTAAGCTCTTTTCACTACTGGTGAGTGGTAGCAATTCTATACATTCTTTGACATTGTACAGCTCGTATAATTTTAAACACCACCATACTACATAGTGAAACTATTAGCTAAAAAATGGTCTGTCCCATGTAAGTTCACCAGAGTTTCACTGTGGAATACACATATGTACAAGTAGTATGAATTTACAATACATAACTTCATTAGGACTCAGTTCTGTTAAAAGATAGTGTGCTTATTATAGTATCATTTTAATGTAAAAAAATACACACTTATGGTAAATACAGGATGCTGAAAAAATGTGTCCTGGCACTAGACCACAATATCTTCAGCACAATAAAACCCTAGAAGCACAAATAATGATCTGAGGGCTAACTATATAATAAAATAACATGTATGCAAGAGAAAAAAAAAAAAATCTGTATGTCAAACCAATCTTGAAATGAAAACGTTCTCAAACATGAAATGGCATCTTCTTCCATATGAAGGTTATGATTTCTCCAGCTGAACTTCTCCCTTTCATATGCTCATACGCCTTTGCCTCTATGTTTTTCAAGTTTAGAAAAGCCATGTTCAACCAACATTATCTTGGCCACAGCAGCTATTTCAAATAAAGAGGCTGCTTCTTTCATTTTTGCTGAGTTTGAGCAGCTGCAGCCTGATCAGCTCTTCTTATGTTGCATGAAACCACAAAAATAAAACTGAATCAAATAGCACCTAAAAATTGAATACAATTGTTGTCAGCCTTCTCCCCCTCCAGTCCAATAAGAATATTTTCTGATTGGGACATTTAAGGTAGAAAAGGGAGGCTATAGAAACCACAACAAACCATAAAGATTAAGACAACTTCCCATTTCTTAAGAATTGCAGTTCAGTCACCATAATGACAACATTACAACTATGTGAGTATTACTAAATAAATTCTAAATAATAAATACATATACAAAATATGAACAAATTAGCAGAGCTTTAGACACAGCATGTCCTCATCAAAATGCTTTACGGCTTGTTTGTTTTTCATATTAGAGAGTTAGTGTTTGATGATTACGGTGTAGGATAAATGATGAGGACTGCTGAGGTCAATTCCTATTTTTGCTTGAAAAAGTAATTTAGAACACGACATTTCATTTCATTTCTCGTGCTTCACCCTGGGTTTTGTAAAATCTGTTTAATACACTACTTGTTACAATTTAGAATATATATTTTCTTTCCAAATTCTCAAATAAAGGAGCTAAAAGAGTACAATTACAAATAAAGAACTACTACACATGAAGAGGTAAGAATCTTCCCTTATTAGTGATCATGAAATTAGTTTGCAGCACCACATGCCACACTGCATTTTTTAGCCATTGGGCGATCAGAGGAATGACTCAATGTATTTTAGTTTGCTTCATTTTTCCTGAAGTTGAGTTTCAGTTTCCGTACCTTACCTAGCAGGCAGCTCTTCAGATGATGTTCATGGAAGTCAGCAGCATGACTTAGGTGTTCTTGAGTCTGATATTTTTATTATTATTTCAGAGTTTGTCTATATAAGGAAATAAATACTCAACTTCTGTGTGCTGATCTGTCATATGATGCTTTCCTGAATATTAGGTAAAAGTTGACATTTCCATCTATTCTCAATGACAGAATTTTGTTGATTTATTTCAGGGATAAAAAAGAAATAATTGAAGAATATTTGCTGTGTTAAATGAATGCTATTCAGTGTGAGCAGCCTTAATACAGTGTTTTCAAGTTCAAAAGCCTTTAATAATTATATTCATGGTACATATATGGGTTCTCTGGTTTAGAATACAGATGGGGATTTCCTAACGGTATGACTAAGTGGGAATGACTGGATGCCTATACTGATCATCATCCAGCTGCTGAAGTACCACAATTTTCAATGTAGTCAGTTAGGTGTAGTCACTATTTTGGTTTGCACTCTGAAGCTGCCTTATAAAGTAACCAGAGACCTGTGCCTTAGCAAATACTATTTCTCTAAAAGTTGTCTTGCCAATCTTTATACAGTTTCTGCGTAAAGTTTGATGACGTACCTCTACCTGCTGTTGATAGATCAGTGCACTTCTACTAACCTAAATAAAGGTATGCTGTTTTGGACCATACAGGATATGACATATATTAATTGCAAAATGCAGCAATAGAGGGAAATACCTAAGCTAGCTCTGAACAAGCTATTCTGAGTTATATCCATCACTGGAAACCGTATAGCCACATCAGCATTGCCTTCTGCCCCAACAAACTCATCGTGATGAGAGGTAGAACTAATTAGCCTAGCAAAGCACATTGCTACTGTGGCCACAGGGACACAAGCAAGTATCTCTGCAAGGCACTGCAATGTGCCATATTTAAATATCAACTTGTTGACAGCTAGCTCAGGAATCTCTACATGGCACTGTATTGAGAGGCTATAAATATGCCATTATCTTTCTCATTTAAGTTTGCTGGTAGGTGGTAGAAAAAATGACTTCAGTAGAGCTGCACTAGAGATGAATTTCTAAGAATGTGATTTCATGTCATGAAATGACAATGCTTAAAAATGTAGTAACTATGATAATTCTTCTCCCAGATCTATTATTGATAATCTGGTTCCATTAAATTTAAATGCATAAGAAAGAAAACAAAACTATTCATTGGGAACTTGAAGCAGTTTCAACAGAATTTTTCAAAAGAAAACAAAGTGATCAGACCACTAGAAAAGTTCCAGGCATGCTACATATTGTCTTGATGTTAAATACAAAAGAGAGCAGAGGAAAAGACAGTCTTAATAGATATATTCAGACTATTTTCTCCACTAACCTGACATGGACCAACACAGACATTATAAAGAAAAAAAATTGCTAATGAACTGCCATTTTTAAAAGAATGAAAAATATTGTGGGTTTTTTCAAAATGCTGTTATCAAAAAGTGAAAAAAATAATTTTAGACATTAAAAACCTACTACATAAGAAAAATACTTAGAGCAAGATACCTCAAGAGATATGACCTTTTAATATTTTTCATGTTATGAAACTCCCATAGTGAGTATTAATCAGTTCTATCATAGTTATCATATATTCTTGGTTAATGAGGGAAGATAGGATAATGGTCTCCAAATGAATAAAAATATATTAAAGAACAATCAGGGACTAGTTATTCTCATCAATCAATGAGAACAGAACAAGTTATAATAAGCTCAGAATTCAGTAGAAAATAAGAATAGCCTGTTAATTAAATAGGGCCCTTTGAGAGGTGCTGCTATGAGTAACACTCTAGAAACTGAGTTTTTGTCATTTCTCTACTCTTTGCCCTAAAACAGATGGTCAAATACTTTAACGGGTATATTCAAACAATGTGCAGCACTGGTTCTGCAATGCCATGGAGAAAGTAGACTAGGTATTTGGACTCAAATAATGTTATTAAATTGGACAAATGGAATTATGACCCCAAAATATTTCCTCACCAGAAATGATCCATTACAAACCAGCATGTTAACTTCTCCTTTCAGACACCTCCATACATTTCCCAGGAAACAGAAAGTGGTGTGACTTTCATAAGGATGCTGCAGCTGCTACTGCTCCTCCTCTAACAACATCTAAGAAAATTTAAAATCTTCTTTGTCTTGAATACATCTATAAAAACTTTAATTTGCTAACAGATTTAGATTTAAGGCAAAAGGAATAGAAATACTGGACTATTAAGTTTCAGATGTATCACTGCATTATGAAACCAACAATTGGAAATCAAGCCCCACTTGACCTGATATTTGTTCTTTTATGGTTAGATAGAATTTACATCTCTCTTACCGTCGAATACCTCCAGCTCATCAAATTGCTTTTCACTTTGAAACATTTCTACAAAGATGGAGATGTTATATCCTGGCTCAACCTTTATAGTCCAAGAACAGGTCTGAGAATTGGGATAGGTGCCTGGGTAACCTGGACTGAGGATCACTCCTGATGATTCTGTACGGATTTCATTTGCTGGACATTGTGCTAGAAAGGACACAAGAAGAAAACAAGAGTAGCAATGAAATAAAGCATTTCCTTTCCATGAGAAAACCAGTATTATTTTTCAGAGATATGTATGCTTGAGGTTCAGTTTCCAAATGAAAACATGTTAAAATCATATTCTAGATGGAAGGAACAATAAAGTTCCCTTTAGCACAAACAGAAACAGGACCACCTACCTTTATAAACCTTGCGTTTATGAAACAGGATACTAATTACAGTAAAACATTCATCCCGAAATGTGTCACAGCCCAAAGGGTTTACAGCTAAGGGATTCACATATGCTGGTGTGATCATTCACACAGGTGAGGTAAAAGGCCTGGTAAAATTTTTATTTGGAAACCTGGTAGCTGTCTTCTATCTGAGGTCTAAAAAACCCCTCCCACCTTTAATAATGAAGTCTGTTACATAAACATGACAACATATTGGAACTTCTAGGCACACCAGATCAACTGAAAGCATACATGTTTTGTGCACACAAAGGGCTTATTTTGGATACAGAACAGTCCAAGTCAACTAAGTAAGACCTTCTCAGCAACCACTTCCCCTATTATTTAAACTCCGAACTCATAACAATTTCACCTGGTATTCATAGGCGTTTATGATGACTGCATATGACAAAGAGTATACTGTATTAAAATGTTGTGAATTTTATATCCTAAATACTGGTTTTAATTAAGAAATTCTTTTGTTGGTCACTGTTTTTCTTTAACATTTTGCCTCTCATGCAGGACTGATTTTTTCATTTCTTCACTGTTGAAGTCTGATACATTTTGTACACAGTTTCATAATATATGTGCATTTTAACAATTTTTTTTGTGTCAGATTCACAAATATATCTTGAACAGAAATGCATTCCTGGAAACTGTCTAGCACAGTACCCAAGTACTTGCATAAATTAAAGGGTATAGGAAAGATGAAAAATGTAACAACAGAGGGAAAATGATAGGGGTGGGGAATGTTACAGGGGAAAAACCACATGTAACTATCAGAAACAAACATAAAAAACTGGACCATTTCCCTTAGTTGGCCTTTTACAAACTCGTAGGTGAAATTTAGGTTCAGTTGTAGCTAAGAAGAGTTTTGCTGTAAACTTCTGGAAAACAGTATCGGGACTTTATCAATTGTCCTCTCAAAGAAATTAAGCATACTGGTAGAGAAGGAAATTATATTTTATAAAAGATGTCCAGTCTTTACCTTCTGTTCCATACACAAACCTGAACCCTCCACCAGAAGCAACAATGCAAACAAAATAGGAATTTAATCAATTAATTCACATATAAATGAACCATCACTTTCCTACATAGTTCATAGACCTTTACCTTTGAGAAGCTGGCTTATTCCTGTCTTTTCTCTAACCTGGATAGAGTTTTCCAGACTTGTGTGAGGAAGGTAAGAGAAAGTGTACATGCCCAAGTGCAACAATACAACGTTCCATTCATTGTCCCAGATTCTTTAGAATATTTTAAATAATGATACATTAAGTGAGAAAGGTATTAGTTTCAAACTTAACTTACAAACTCATTTTCTGCAGACTAACAATTTCTTAATGGCACCAAAATTTAGAAAAAAGAAACTAAAAATCAGAACAGTTCTTTTCTGACTGTTCCAAGACTTCCCTAGATCTGACTTACAGGTTGAGCCTTCAGCACAAAAGTTGGGGTGATTTTTCTTCAGCTGTGATTTTTTTTATACTATAGCATAAATTATAAATCACTTCTCTAAAAGCCACTCTAATTATTTAGGGATATAAGAAGGGGGAAAGTATGAAAAAGTAAAACCTACTTATTACTCATTTTTGTCATAACCTTTTCTTCTTCAGTCTGCTCTAATAGACTGGAGAATATGTAGCATTATCATGCCAGCAAATGCAGGAAGACATATTAGATTTTTGAAACTCTCTCTTCCTCTCCTCCCCCTCATCTTGTTTAGCTAAAAAATTTCTTCAGTCAGAGAGAAAAATGTCAGCCTGTGAAAAGGAGGGATGTAATATGCAAGTGAAAATATACCATCAAGCAGGGAGAACAAGGTGTGGGCTGGGGAAAAAATGGCAAGCAAATAATTTTTCCTTGGCATGTGTCCCTTTCTGCTATCACTTGACAGCACTGGCTATAGCAGAGATATCTCTAAAAGGTAAAACCATTTTTCATAGAAGGCATCCTAAGAGAAAGAAAGCCTATGGGGTAATGGTATATAAAGTAGTAAGAATCCTTTTGACAGTTTTAATTCAGGAATTGCCTCTTGAGATAGAAACACCTGAAGCCAAATTACACCCAGAAATTTCATGCAAGCTTCTGTGTAAGAATACAGCATTGTGTGTATTTAATGGCAGTAGCTTCTCTTTCTCATTATCTTAAAATGAAACACACAGTTACTTTGACTTCCTATATACTTCAGAATAAGAGAAGAATAATGTGAGAAAATACAGTCAGCAAGTGCTCTGTCTCATGAATCTGCAGAAAGTACAAGTAAACCAGCAAATTATCAGAGAACAACATTGGGCAGAAACATATTGTAAGATAAATAACTAACTATTTTCCCTTAGTTAAATACCTGAGACTTACTCCCAAGCAGAAGTTTGGCTAGCTATGTGGCATTTCCAGTCAGACATGCAGTAAAAGTGCTCATCAGTGATGAAGAGTAGCTGACATGACACAGTTCCACAACCTCCTTTACCCCGTAGTATCATTTGCTTAAGCTACAAGACCGTTTTTAAGAAAAGAAGATGACTTTTACTGATCCAGTATTGGCTTCATTAGAATATTTTTTATAATGTTGAAGTCTACTAGAGCAACTTGTGGATTAACAGCTGGTTTTCAAAGTTGTAAATTACAAGTATCCTGGAGAAATCAGTAATGCTGTCAGACTTTTCACAGCAAAATACAGTGATTCTTTTCAACACTGAAAAACTACCACTTCTCTGGATAAACTATGCTTTAAGAAATGGTCACGATCAACTAAACATGACAAAAAAGTAGTTGCAAAGCACAGGAGATTTGGAAGGAACATATGGGACTGCAGCAAATGCCTCTGGAATGGTTTTTAGTAAACATGCCATATCTAAAAACTAACAGCAGATATGGTAAGGATACAACTGCCTTTTGTTGCCTGCTTTTCTTCAGCATCTTAGGGAGTTATGGAAATGACCATTGGTCAAATTACTCGTGAAAAACATTATTTACTGGTCATTCAGATTTGGGGCCTGCAAATAAACTCTGGATGTTACACAGATACAGCCCAGACAAAACTAAAGCCAGGTGATCTCATAAAATGGAAAGTGTGATGGTACATTCTTCAGAAAAGTTTACAGTTGGGTTCATCTAAAAGGTTTTTATCACAGCCCATTACATGGGTGCTCTTTCAGCAAAGTTCCCACAGGTATCATTTCCAAAGAGGTGCACTATAAGTATCTTCTTAAGAACAAGCTGCATGAACTTGTGTTTACATACTGCAGCATATGAAGGTTTTGGAATCTGGGTTGGAGGATTTTCAAGTAAGAATAAGATTAAAAATTACAGTTCGAAAAACCTGAGATCAGTTTACAGTGATCCACAGAACACTGTCATAAAGTGTTGAAATATTCTTCACTATCTCAAGAAACTCACTGCAAGTATATGAAAGAAATGGAGCCAGGGAAGGAAATGCAGTGAGAAAACATAGGAAAGTCACCAATGCAGAGAAGTGAAAATTGCTAGTTTCCTTTGGGAGAAAGAAATCTTATAGAATAAGAAGAAAGACAATCACTCAAGAAAGCACAGACACCTTGACTGTGAGCATCTCAGAAGCCTCTGAAAATGCTCCAGATGAGAATTGGCCACTGTAAGAATGGTCTTGCAAAAAGAAAAAGAGACACGACTAAGAAATTGCAGGGAGAAGAAAAAAAAGATGAAAAACCCACAGAAATTACTTTTTCTGCCTTTCTCTTTCACCTGCTTTGTTCTTAAATCATCTATTTTTTCTTGTAAAGGACATCAGAGACAAAAAGAGAAGCAGAAAAAAAGGCAAGGAAATAGCTTGTTTGCTAGGTTTGAAAAAATAACAACAAAAATAATTTTTTCAAAAGCAGGTAAAAGTTATCAATAACAGAGAAAGACTGCTGCTAGCTTTCTCATTCCTTGCAGCTGATTCTTAAGAAGGGACCTGAAACTAATTTATTTACCACAGGGGAAAATGTGCCTTTTGCAGATGCTTCCTCATGCCCTTCTCTCGTAATTGAGGAAAAGTATGATGTTACTTTGTAATTAAGAACATTTCTTTGGTGAGTGAATATTAAAAATCAACAGCTTAAAGGTCAGAGAATTTCCTTGAACACATCATCACATGTACACAACATAAGAAACAGGTCAATGCAGGATTGCTGTAGGAGTTCTTTCCTCCATATATTCTATTGTATTCACTTAGTGGACTTCAAAACTTTACTAACAGAACAATTTCCAAAAGGAACAAGTACTGTTTATGTGAAAAAAATGCATTTCTTCACTACAAATCAGTGGAAATAGTAACGCAAAGGGTGAAAGAGGATATGGAATATTCTTTTGTGGTACTGAGACAAAAATAGCATGTTGTGAGGCCTCCCCCAGCATATTCTTAGGGCAGAAAATTCAAGTAAAAATGAAACTCTTATGTCTTTCTAAGCTGTAAATAGCTCCGTAGGTCTCCTGTGCCAGAGCAGAAGTGGCCAAATCTCCCTACACGGCAAGCTATAGCTCTAACTCTTCCTATGGCCAAGATTCACTTCCTATGCCTAAGAGTCATTGGACAAGAGGTCCCTTCCAACCTCAACCATTCACAGGAGACATACCACAGGGACTTAAAAGAGGAACAGTTCTGGAGTAGTTCAGGGACATGGGAAGGCAGACAGCGTATTGCTCCTTTGCAGTTTGGGAGGCTGGCTGCACCACGGGATTACGTGGCAAATTGGCAGTGTTCATCTTGGCAGCTGGCTCTCTTTCTCCACCATAATGAAATACCCACCAACTTCCCCC